GAATCACTGTGGGGCACCAGGACTGATCCCAGCTCTGTTCCCACTGAGCTCTGGTTCCTGCAGAGCCTGTCTCTGCTCTCACAGCTCATCAGCACTGGAGGCAGAGTCAAGGATCTTCCTCAAACAATGTCCAGCTGTTTACTGACAGCTCTACACCAGATGGGGCAAACAGAGATCCCAAGGCTGGCATTTACTGGATTGTGGTAAAGGGAATCATGGCAAAGAACAGAAAAATGCCCTGGCAGCTCCTCAGCCTGTGTGTAAACAGCAGGGCCAGGCTGACTCCCACCCTGTCAATCATGCTAATATACATGAATTAAGAATAGAAGTCAAGCCTCTGTATTACATTAAGTAAAAGCTGTTATTTGGGGTATTCTGAGAAGCTTATCTCATATCCTTGATCAAACTCCTCAGATTCCACTGAGGCTGATAAATATCAGAATAAAATTGCTGAGTCAAAGTGATATCATAATTCTTACTTTTCCTGCAAACTTTGTTTTGGTTTCTTATCAAATTAGTGAAATAAAAGGGATTTTCATCATCATATATTTAAGGAAAGTTCCAGAGGTTCTCCTATGATGACACCATGCTGATTTATCCAAAATATACTGCTGTGTAATGCTAGCATTACAAGAAATTATGAGATTTTTATCTGGTAGGAAGCAAGGGTGTTGCTCAAGCTGACTCCAGGGTGGTACTGCCCCATGTGGGGTCCCACAGCCTTTCAGGCACAGAAGAAAATGTCCTGAGCTGAACACATTTTCTGCATTGTAATTCATTATTCAAGGAAAAGGTGTTAAGAAATCAACAATGAAGTGATCTTTGCTCAGTTTTGGCACTAGGGTTAATTTCAGGAGCAGTGAAATTTTATAAGAAGCAGGCACTGGTGTCAGAATGTCAAAAGGAGGTATTTTCTGCATGATGTTTATAACTGCTTTTGTTCTGGGCTGCTATGTCAGTAAAACAATTTATACTAAGAATATTTTCAGATGTTCCATCACTTAGTCCCTGTTGACTTGAAAGGTGGCCTGAAAGAGCTGAGAATGGCACTAACTCCAAAAAGGAAAAACTGTACCACAAAAAATCCCTTCTTTAATAGCACAAAAAGCCATGTAAGGGATAGAATACATCATCTGTATTTTCAGTACCAAGACCACCTGCAAGTGATAATGTTTGCATGAATTTTAATTAGAGAAACAACATTTTCTTGCAATATCTCCTTTCCAAGCATCATAGATGAATAGTTTAAGTTGCTATGGTTACAATGGGTTGTGTCAGACTGTGGATCAGTGTGATGGTTACAAATTTGCATGTAAAGAACAAAGGCTGCATCTTTTCATTTCAACCAGATGATTTTAGCTCAAAATATTTCTGTAATTTTAAATCAGTTGATGCAACTTGACATATCACTCATACTAGGTGAAGAAAAATGAAAACTTCATGATAGTTTAACTTTTCTGTTTAAAGTAAGTCCCTTTGCAATTTTTATTCCAGTTAGAAGTTTATTTTAAGAAAATAAATAGTACTTTTCAACAACCCATATAGAACAGGAGTTTTTATATAGGCTCTAAAAAGAATGCCAAGATGTTGCCTCGGCTCTTGAGCTATTAAAGGCACAGTCTGTTTCTCATGAATGAAGATTGGCTGAGATTTGAACTCTCTCCTAGTTTTGATCCGTTCTGTTTTGAAATGTAGCAATCTTATCTTCCCATTGCATTGTGCAAGTATTTTTCATTATGGATTGGCATGCCATCCACTTAGTATCTTCTATTTGGAGGCAGCCAATTCCTCCCTTTTGATCCAAACCAGTTGTTAACTGTCTAAAGTATTTCTTTATATGAAAAAATAAAAGAGCCTTCCTTGAAACATTTTGGTGGAATCCCGTGTGAAACTAATTTGTGGGGAAAAACAAATCAGTAGGTGTGTGGGGTATGGAGAGAGAAAGCCTGTGCCTGTGTGTGCGCACATTGCAGCCTTCAGACGTTTTCATCCAACTAATTTCAAGGGTTAAGAGCGAGATAGTGTGCTAAAGTGATTCCAGATGGGCCAATATTAATATCTTTCTTTTCCTGATGAATGAGAAGGTATGACCTAATTAGAAAACTGCTAAAAATGAGGGCACCAGCAAGGCTCAAGCCCAGCAGAGCCGTTCCTGCTCACCTCGGCAGCTGTGGTGCTGGTGCGCGGCTCGGACCTGCTGCAGGAGCCCTTCCAGGGCCTCCGTGTGTCTCCTGTGCTGAGGCTCTCTCCCACTGCAGTCTTTCCAGTCTGGTGAACAAAGGAAATAAACAGAAATGAAACACAAAGGTGCAGGAGAGGCTCTAAAAATATTTTGTTGCCTCTGGTACTTCTTGTCTCCAGAGGAGTTTTACATCTCGGCAGGCAGGAGTCGTTTCTAAGTCTGTTGTTACTTGTACACTGAGGTTTCTTTGCCTCGTGCCAGCTGGGTGATTAATCATAATGATTATTAACAAAGAGCTCACAAGCAGCTCTGAGAAGCTCCTGTAGTGTCTGACTTGACCATGGGTGTTTCTCTCCATGAATGGGCTCTGGTGCTGCTCTCAGCCTGTCCTGGCACTCAGCCCCTCACCAAGGTCACACAATGCTCCTTCTGCCACTCCTGCTGACACCAGGAGGCTCCACAGCTCACCTACAGTTCTGCAAAGCAGAGAATGAACATCTTCCTACCCCTAGAGCTTGCCCTGTAGCCAGAGAAACATGTTTGGAGTAAAATCATTTCTGGAGATCTGCTCCCAGCAGAGGCCTGAGCAAACGCTGGCAGCTCCTGCCCTGGAGCCATGGGCTGCTCAGCACTGCACTCCTGAGGCAAAAACCTGATGCATTTGTCCCACACACATTCAACCTCCAACAGACTTTGTTTTCACTCACTTGCTGCTAATGAGAATCTCAGTCTTCATTTTAAAAAACAAACTCATCACAAATAGGAAGAAACTGCGTGTATCAGAAAGGAGCTCTTTAATTCCTGACTTGGCTATTTTAATACTTTGATTATAATGAGAAAAGCTCATTGCACCAGTTTCCTGGCCCAAAGGAATGGTGGATCAAAGTATTAAGAGATCTGTCTGCACAGGAGACATGCTCCCATCTTGTTGGCACAGAGACCGGGGACGTACTCATAGCCACCAGGAGTTTGCTCACTCACTAAATATACAGATCCAGTTTCTAGTGCAAGTTTGGAGTCAAGCATTCCTTCCAATGGGCTCACTATGCCAGGGATATAAATACCTGTTTATTTACATTTAGTGTAGCAGCCAGAGTAAGCCCCATGAAAGGCTGGAAAGAGAAGACATTTGGTATCCTGATAGCCTGTGGGCAGTGTGACAGCCGCAGAGGGGCTGTCCTGTGTGCTCTGTGCTGCTGCAGACATCAGGGCCAGCTGCATTTACTGCTCAGTCTGGGGAAAATGTCCTCAGAGCTCCTGTGAGCAGCCCGGAGGGACCAGCTGGAACTCACCAGTATCAAAGTGTTTGGTGTTATCAGACTGGTAGAGTTTCAAACAACCTTGTGATTTCTCTGTCCCAGTGGTTTCCAAACTTTTTGAGCCTCCAGATTGCTGACTACCTTAAAAATGATACAGAAACCAGACCAGCTTCTGTCATTGTCCATCACTCACCTGATCATGAATAAACTTAGAAATATTTCTGTCTACTGGGATTTCACAGAGAAGCTGCACAATGCTGGCCTTCACTTTCCAGGCTGCTGCTGTGTGTGGGGGAAGTGGCAAGTGCTCCCTGCCATCACACACAGACACATGTCCAAGAGTGTCACCAGCCTGATGCTCTGGGATTGGGTCAGCATCAGGCCCTGAAGCTTTCCTTTCCCTGCATATTCTCATGGCTGCTGATACAGACAACTTTGTAGAGCATTAATGTATTCCCATTGAAATTTTAGCTCAGGGCCATATTTTGTTATGCAGCACTGGTGTAATGTCAGCTTGCTGCCTCCTTGCCAAGCACAAATCTTCTGCTTTGCAAAACCAGTGGTGAAGGCAGTCACGTGAATAGGGAAATTCTGCCCCCAGTAACTGCAATGGTAAATTACATCTTGTCTCTCTAATGTGAGTATTACTTAATGAAAAGATTTGCATTTAGGCTCTGCTGGTCTTACTGTAAAGCTTGAGCATGTGGCCCTAAACCCAGCAATTACAGACCTGTCTGTACTCTTAGCACCCTGAGATACTGTACAAGGGGAATGAACAGAATTCTCTCCATGGCTTTTGTGCTGATCCACTGAAATCTGCAGGAAGATTTCCTTCACACCCCAAGACTTTGGAGCTGGCACACAATGTCAGATTTCAGAAGGTTAATAGCAGGGGACTATAAAAAGGGAAGAGAATGCAATATGCTGAAAGCAAAATTCACATCATACAAAGTTGCAGTCTTAAATACCACCTGTCTTGCCAGGAGTGCTCTTTCTTTGGGGATATTTGGCTGAATAACTGGCAGCTACTGTGAAAGAATCTGTCCCCCAGCTGATGTAAATTTTGGGTTTCTGGGGCCAAGTCCTGTGTAGTTACACCTGGCTATAGTCAAGGTAATTGCACATTACCAAGTTATTCAGTTATCCACAGTAGATTTTTTTCCCCATTATTGCAGCCCATTTTTGTTCTCAAGCAGAATATTTCTTTAGCCTAGTTCTGGTATTGTTCTGGAGAAAACACAAGAAAAAAAAAAAAAAGCAAAATGGGACAATGGTAATGCAAAAGCCTTATTTATCCAACCCTCTCCATTATGACTGCTGAGAGTAGGTACAGCTTGTTATATTTTTTCGCATTAGCATGCAAGGTTATTAAATTGCTACATTAGCCTAATAAAAACTAGTGTTAATGCAATAGAAAAGAGAAGTCCCACTTTACTGCATTAATCAACACAAGGGGAGCTGTAATACACTGAGCCAGTTTGGCAGGGAACACTAAGTCTGGAAAAGCAACCAACAATACAATGTGATTACAACAGATTAAAAATTACAAATGACAACTCATAGCCCTAATGAAGTTTGAGAAGACTGCCAGAGGTTGGATAAGGAACATTTTCTTTTTGACATTTCTGCAACAGTTACAGGCTACATCCTACCACCATGTGTGTCCACACTGGAGTATTTTATGTACAGGATGCTGTAAGAGTGGTCCAGTGAATGGGATCTGTAATGCTACAAGGTAAAGCATAAAACTACATGAGATACTTGTGTTTTGCTTCTAGCAGCTCAGAATCAGGTTTTGATCTATTAATGTACTGAAAAATGAAGTTCCATATATCAGAACTCTACTAAGAGAAAAGAAGATTAAAATATTTCTAACTTTTTAAAGTGTTAATGACTAGAAAACAATTTTCTGTCAAAGGACTGGAGAAGAATAAAAGCTGAGACATAAATATACATCAATTATTATTTTGCTTAATTTTTGAGGGTTGGAAAGAATTGAGTTTTATTATTTATTTCACTCCTAGATGGCATGGCAATTAAATTGTGTGCTCCAACATCACTAAGCAAACTGCAGGCCAGACCAACCCCACCTACTTGAAGGAGAAGCATATTCAGGAGTAGATTTGCATGGAGGTCCCCATCCTCTCATGTTGTATGCTGAGACACGGACATAATATCTCTGGCCCTGCAAATGGAAACAACTGAAGTCAAAACTATCACTGGATTCAAAACCTTGGCTGTAACAACTGCAAAGCAGTGCCTCGCAAAGATTTTTTTTCCAGCTTAAATAGTTTTAATAATTTAAATGCACCATGATCAATTGAAACATACTACAAAGATTTGAGGACAAGGTTTAAGACCCAATTCTGTTTGTTGCAAAATAGATATACAAAGACAAATAACGAAAATGAGAATGACTGCCATCAACATGTGCATTTCTGGAAGAAGGGGAAGAGAAAGAGTGTTTATTTCAGGTATTGGTGATCAGAGTCAGGTCTAGATTTCTCAAGAGCCTTTGCTCTGCACTGATTATCCCATGATCCAGAAAACAGCAGCTTTTGCTTCAGTCTTTCCCAATTTCTCCTGAGAATGATAACTCAAAACGGGTTCTATTCCTTTGTGACTTTTGGGTTATGGCTACCAGACATACTGTGCTCAATCACTGGAACATGTTGCTACAAGAAAGGCTCTGCAGTGATTTCCAAGGGTGTGGTGCAAATTCTCTTTGTATCACTGTGGGGACCAGACCATGAAGGTCTAAATGAGTCCTCTGGAACTCACCGTCCTGAGACCTGTGATGAAGCACCTCAAAGAGTGAAGATTATCCATAATTATCTCACCAGCCAAAGGAGAAAAGTCTTCTGAAGAGCTCCATTCCACTAGAAACAAATAGCAGGAGAAAATCAAGTCAGGTACCAGTCCAAGCAAAGAAGCCAAAGGCCTTAAATCACTCACAGGTTAAGTTTTCTCCTAGCAGTTTCCCAGCCCATGTGGGTACTAAAAGTCATGTTCAACAGTAATGTATAGCAAGTACACAGTGATTAAATTATATCTCTGTGTATGGGAGATAAACCCAAAATATTGTTCAAAAGCTTTTCAGGCAAGAATGCTTAAAAACAGACTGCAGTACAAATTACTTTGAGTTACCATTGTGCTCATTTAAGCAATTTCTTTTTAAAGACAGAGAAGCAGTGGAAAAGAGAAGGTGAAGGAATTGGACCTGTTAATGCCATTTGGCATTTATACATCCTAACCAACAAAAACCATTGGATTTGCAATGACTTGCATTGGATTTTCCCAGGTGGGCAGAGAGTCCTTTTGGCTCCTCAGGCCCAGAGACTTCCCTTGGCTAATTGGGATAGAAATATTCTCCTTGGACCAGACACTCACTGGAGCCTCCTGGTTAGTTTCAGAGGTTCTGGCTCTCCTGGCCAGGCCTGCTGCTGCTCTGGGCACTGCAATTACAGAGCTCCACCAGGACCTGGTAAGCTGAATCCACCTTCAGAGGGATTTGGGCTGACAGACCCCTCCCATCTTTCCTTCAGCCCAAATTGTCATGGACACCTTCACCAAAGTGCTCCTGTCACTCCTGTTCCTGCTGAGCTCAGGGTTATGCAATCAGCAGTAGTGCTGTCCATACTCTTCCTCAGTACTTGAAAAACTTATTCTGCACATAAAATAGTATTGAGCAGACCAAGAAATACTACTGGATGATTTTGAAAAAAGAATATGTGCAAGTGAGGAACAGATGGCTGCAGGCAGGAAACCAGCCTTTTTTCTTAAATTATTCCTTATTAATGAGAGGTGCCATCCTGGTTATTCCTGGAGTCATACCTCTGGGATTTAGTGACCTGTACCTTCAGATTCAAACTTCCAGGAAAACCTATCAAAATCATAGTGAAATTAATCTCTTGAAATATTCTACAGTAGAAACTGGGAAATCTCATGAATTTCCTGGATTTACACCAAAGAATTCAATATAAAGCTTTTCTTCATTTCCTAGAATCTATTCACAAAATAGTTTTTAGACATTTTATTTGTATCTTCATTAGTACTGGAGTTGATAATTTAGAATAGATCAGAGGATATAGGTATTCTAATTTCAACATGTGGAATTTTCATCTTCTGGCAGTGTCATACCAGTATTTTCACGTTAAAAGAAAATGGCTTCAGAGAATTTCTTGTTCAGCATATATAACATTTAACTGCCAACACATTTTTCTGAAACAGCCAAGTATCAATAGCACAACTCATTTTTCCCTTCTCCCCTAATTGCTCCTTTTCTATGATTGCACTTTGTTTCTATGATTGCACAGCATGCTCTGCAACATTTTTGTGTTTGCTGCAATGAAAAGAAGATTGGTTTTTTATATTCTCATTGAATTTTTTCACTGTGTATTTTTCTAGTTTTCCACGGGTTTTAAATACCTAATTACTGCCACCTTTAGTGGAAGCTATCTCTGCACATTAGTAGGAAAATGTAGAGACTGTTGCAGTACCGTATTGTAGGGTTTTGTTGACAGTTTAATTATAGGAATACTTAAAAGCAACATTGAACTTGATGGCCTGTCAGAGTTTCCATTGTAAACCGTGATTTTCAAGGTTTCTAACTCCACTCGTATTAAATTGCTGCAGACACTGTACACATGCAGCAGACATGTTTTCTGTTTTCCAGAAGGAGAAACCAGAAGGAAAAACCCTGCTCAAGCTGCTGAATGCATTGTCAACAGGCTTGCAGCCACTTCAGACTCCCTTTTTCTTTTCAAGGATTCATGTCAAGCAAGACAGTGTCACTCAGGACAGCTCCTGCCAGCAAATCCTGCCTTCATTGGAATCCCCAGGCGTGCCCCAGGGTCCTGCTCCAAGAGAGGGGCAGTGCTTGGGCCACATTTTGGGCAGCACAAAGCAGAAGCCAAGGATGAGAGAAGTAGCTCTAAGCAGCTTTTGATCCTCCCAAATTTTTAACTGTTCCATGGACTGGAGGCTCCCCAGTCATAACCTGGTACTTCGAGAGGCATATTTAAATTTGGGTAGCTTACACAAACAAACTGCAGCCCTGTCCTTGATGTGGGTCCCCTTCTACTTGCATTTGGCATTTAGAGGAGTGCTCCCAACATTTAGAGATGCTGGCACGCTGTCTGAAGAGGATTTAATGCCTTAATCTGAGCAGGATTGCAATCCTAGCTGTCTGCAAGCCTGGGACCATCAGGAACACCACAGTTCTGGTGTTGTGACTAGCAACAGCATGGCAGCTTGTTTTCAGAAATAACCAAAGGCTGCTCCGTTCAGGGAGAGACACTGAGTTTCCAAGGAGAGAATGGGCTGACATGATCCCCACAGCCATGTCAGGAGCAACAGGGAAGTTTGAGAGGTTCTGTGATAGTAAATCACAGGGCTGTGCTGCTGCCCCAGCTGGTGTCAGTGAGGCCCTGAGTGATGCTGAGTGCCACTGGGATGTCCCAGCCCCTCGAGGGACAGCAGCTGCCTTGGGAGGGTGTCCCAGTGTCCCAGGGCTTGTCCTGCCATGAGCTGCACCCTGGATGCCCCATGGTCCCCCCACCATCCCATCCCATCCTTCACTGGCTGCCAGCTGAGGCTCAGCTTTGCCTCTCCTTATGCAGCCAGCAATGCCAGCATTTTGCTTTCTTTTTAGCTTAGCCAGTGGTGGCTGAGCCCCATGGAACTGAAACACAGGAATATGATATTTGCCTGTGGATCAGGTTATGGTTATCATGGTTGAGAACCCTCCTTTTAAAGGGTATTTACCTAACAAGATGGTGTATCCAAAGTTGCTCAAAACTTAATTTTCAAATATATTTATTTTGAAACCTCACTTTTGGAAAAAAACCCCGTCCCCCAGTTTCAATAAAAATTTCCATAACTGAAAAATAAATATTTTTTCAACAGCTGTGTTGGAATAGTGCCTTCTTTTTCCCCTCATTTCAAAGTATATCTGTCATAAAGAAACTCATAACAAGTTTTGGAATTTTCTTGCTTACTTATAATTTTAACAAACTTTTTTCCTCCCGTGATTTTACTGACTCAAGTGAGAAGATTACGTGATACAGCTTTAAAGAAATGCAAATCAATGGAAATAATTTATCACTTAGGTTTATATCTCCTGCTCCGCATTGCCAGTTTTTAGCTCTCTACTGTAATGGTCATCTAAAAATAATACAGAATATTCTGCTATACTGATTCATTGGGCTAGAAACCTCCCAGGAGGACATGGATACCAGTTTTCCTATTTTATAGAAGTAAAAATGAAGTAAAGAGGGGTAGAGAACCTTTTTCAGTCAACAGGCCCCAAAACAAGGGCAAAATCCATGTATCAGGCCAGTGTTGGTCCCACTGCCTGGCCTCGTGGGATGTCTGCAGCTGTTCCTGGTACCAACACAAAGCCACTCACTCATGGTCTTACCCTGGTGAAGCATCTGGACCTAAAAATTATCTAATTTTGCATGAGCAACCCATCATGAAGATTTAGCTAAATCTTTGCCTCCTTTGTGAGAGGGAGAGTGCTAAGAGAGAGCAAACAGAAATTACCAACCATTTGTGTCACGCTGAAGTCCTTGGGACTTTAAGAGGGAACAAAAGGCAGCCTCACCTCAGCATGTAAATGCTGAATTATAAACATGCTCAAGTATAGAAAGCTGAGGATGAAGAGGGTCCTTTATAAGAGCCCAGGAACAGGAGCTGGTCTTGTAGACTGCACCAACTGTGCTGTAAAGGACCTGAAAGCTGTTGGGTGAATTAAGGATGGAGCATGTTCCAGTCCTGTTCTGAACACCCCAAAGGGCTGCTTTGTTGTGAACGCTGAATGTCTTTGCTGTTGCGGCTTTCCATCTGACACTTCATGTTATGTCAGAGCAGGGCTTTTTTGTGTGTTTAATATATTGGTGACTATGTGTTTTAATGAAGGTGCCCTGTATTCCAGAGCTAGCAAATGCACGATGTGTTGCTGCGGTCGCCAAGATAAGTAGTAATTTTTAAATAAACAGCAGTATAAACAGTTACATAAAACTCATGTAAATTGCTGGCACATAATTTTAGACTGGCTTAAGTTATGTAACTTACTTGTGGCCAAGTTTTTTTTTTCCTGTTTTTTTTTTTTTTTAAATACTCAATTCACGCACTTTAAAATAAAGGGAGAGGTTTATTTTCACCTGTTTCTTTTCCACTCACAATCCTTCTGTTATACTGAGCATGCCTTTAACAGCTTCTCAGAGAGACATAGAGGCAGATAAAGGGCAAAGGGAAGACATAAAACACCTCCTGACCCTATTGTAGATTCATTCAGGAAGGCACCTTCTCCTGAGTCAAGTAAATAGCCTGAGCCACAGTAGAATTTATTTCTTGTCTTGAAATTTGTTTTTCCTTGCACTTATATTATTGAATTGCTG